TGCTCTGTGTTTTCAGAAAAGGCAAGAATCACCTATTTTACAGAAGAAGAAAAAAGCCTCCTGGGAGGATTGGAGGCAGAAACAGTCTGTGAGCAGCAAAATCATGAAGCTGTTTCCTGTGACAACATCCTGTGTGGATTCTGCAATGTGTAGCGTGGAGGGAATTTACAGACTTTGTCCCCAGCTGATACAGTGATGGCCTCTAGTCTGCCATTTATTTTCACAAAATACGTAGGAACTTTTTATGTAGGAAGCTTTGACCCCTGGGACAAATTCCACTGAAAAGACAAATAAATGCAGAGGTTACAGAGAGAGGGCAAGAGTACCCAATCACATCTGCTTCTTTCATTAGAAAAATAAGCTAAAAATACCACAAGGATGAATTTTCACTCTGGAGCAGCTCAAGAGATGTTCTCAAATAAGTAAACAACTTCAGACAAACGTAGCCCAAACAAGCAGTACCAGGATGGCAAACTCACCTTGCCAGCTGTGGACATGGAGGGAGTGGGTGGAGGGCTCCAGGGGCTAAAACACAACAAAAGAAGCATTTTGCATGCACTCTATCTGAAGCAGTTTTACTCTGGAAATACTTCTCAGATAGTTATCTGCATCCGGGGAGGGTTATTCTGAAGATTTCACGCTCCTGCCTTGCAAAGTTAAAGGTTCAGCACACTTGCTCGTACAGAAATAACTGTCCTACAGGGTTTTACTGCACATGGCTGCCGAGTTTTGGATGGAGAATGAGGACTTCCCCAGGAGACCTCTTCCTCTGCCAGCTCTGGCAAAGTCCATCCCAGCTGCGTCTTCACTCGCTTCCATTGCACCATCAGCGCATCTGACCTCACTTCATCTCACACTGGTAAGACAGAAACCTCTCTCTAATTGCTCCCTCACACGGATCTTGTTACCCTGCCCCAGGGAAAGCTTCTGCCATGCCTCACATCTCCGTGCCCTGCTGCAAGCACACAAGCAGGGATTTCTCCACAGCAGGGAACGAAGACAATGCCACAGGGCGAGATATGTAGATCTGTCTTTGCAGCACTGGCAGCTTCCCTGCCTGGTTTTGGGATGCTGGTCCCCTCCTCAGACCCAGATTTCTGCCTCACACCCCCAGACTGGTCAGTGGGTTTGTACCAGTGCCTTTCTTCCTGGTATAACAACATCCAACCCCCTGCAGGCCATGGCTAAGCCAAACCCCAGGCCCTGCTACTGCTCTTCCATGAGCTCAGGCCCTCTTTGCTATGGGGAACCCCTTTCTACGTCCCCTTCTGGCTCGGGGCCCCCCAGAAGCACCCTTGGGGTGTCACAGCACCCAGGCAGGGTGTGAACACCCCACAGCTGTGACCTCTATTAAGGCAGCAGGGGATGTGATCCCTCACCCCATCACGACAGCTGGGATCCTACTCACAGGGCACTGCCCGAGCAGGGGATTTCTCCTCCTTCTTCCCAGCTACCCTCAGCACACTCCGGGCAGGATGTACGGAAGGATCTCCCCTCCAACAGCACCCTCGGACAGGGGATCCCCCAGGCCAGGATAAGACCCACTCACAGGCAGAACCTTCCCCTCCAACGGCAACCTGGACACATCCTCCCTAGGCAGGATGAGACCTCCTACCACTGGATCCCCACCCGGCATCCCAAGGTTCCCCCACATCTCCTCATGCAGGATGGGACCCAGTTGCTCGATCCTCTTTTCCAACAACACCCCGGATCAGCGGCTTCCCGACTCCGCAGGCTGGACGTGCCTCCCCACAGCACCCCCGGCGAGAGGATCCCTGCCCGGACACATCCCCCGGGAGCCGGCCTGCCCTCTGCATCCCAAGGGACCCCCAAAGCACCGCCGGGCAGGACGGGACTCCCTTCCCTCTCAGCCCCACCGCCCTGGGCAGGGGATAGCCCCCGGCGAGGCAGGATGAGGTGCGTACCCCCCCGCCATCCCGGACGCGGGATTCTCCCTACGTGGGCAGGATGAGGCGCGTACCCCCCCCACCATCCCGGGCAAGGGAATCCCCATCCAGGCAGGATCAGACCAACTCCCCCGGGCAAGATGAGACCTCCTCCTCCCGGTGGGCAGGAGACGCTCCCACCTCCGCACCCCAAACACGGAGGGGATGCCCCCGCTACCCCAGAGCGTGAGGCCCGCTGGGGGGGAGCCCCCACCCCGGGGCGGGATGCGGGGCCGCGGGGGCGGGCCGTGGCTCACCGCGCTGCTGTCCGGGGGCCGGGCCGGGAGCCCCGGGATTGCGGGCGGGAGCGGGAGAGCCGGAGCTGGAGCCGGAGCCGGAGCCGGGATCGGGAGCCGGAGCTGGAGCCGGAGCCGCCTCCGCCGCTGCCACGGCAACGCCGGGCACGGGCCACGTGACCCGCAGGAAACGGGGGGGTGCGCCGCCACGCCCCCGCACGTGACCGCGCTCCGATTGGGCCGCGGGGCAGCCAGGTCACGCCCCCTCGGCGGCGGGGGCGGGGCCTGGGGAGGAGACCCCCGCCCGCCCCCCCTTCCCCCGCGGAGCCGGGGCCGCGTTCACCCCCCGCACCCCGGGGGTGTTGGGGGTCCTCGACACTGGGGATGTACTCAGCGGTCACAGAGGAGGGGCAGCCCCCAGCACCCGCAGCCGGGTGGGATGCCGGGGGTCGCAGCTCGTCAACGCGCATCTGGCAGGGCAAAAAAAAAAAAATCAGCTCTGCGGATTCCTGAAGTCACGGTCAGGCTGAAAAACCCCCACTGGCGAAGGTGTTGGTGGGTCTGGGGCTGGCGTTATCTCTAAGTCTTGGCACAGAGAAGGTATTGGTGCAATGGGATGCAAATGTGCTTTTATTACAGTTGTTAATTACACAGCAAAAAGTCGCCACTTACATAAGTCAAAAGGCAGCGCTGCTCTGCCTCCGCCGGGCTGCAACCTCCTCTGGCTCCCTGGAATCCCCGCTGCTATCTCCCTGCACTCCTCCTCTATTGACTCAGCAGGAAATCCTGTATAAACCCATCAAAAGGACAGGGACAGCCTTATGGGAAAGAGAGGGAGTTCCTTCCCTGGAAATGAGATAAAGAAAATGCCGAAAGGCAGCACAATGGGTCAGCTTTATCACACGGTAATCCCATCATCCTGAATTCCTTTCTGCCCGGGGGGGAGGGAAGAGACAGGAAGACACTTCCCAAAAACCTAATAAAGAGAAAGATACATTTTTTTATCCCGAGTGTGCTTTTCACCTCTGAGATCAGGAACACCTCTGCTCGGTTTCAGCACTAACACTGCTGTCTCTCGGGGTCCCATGTGTAAAAATGGAACGGAGCAAACTTTAATCCCTGAAGATTAGTCTCCATCAGGGAAAGGAGAGGGACTCCTCTAGAAAAGCATCCAGAAAAAGAATTTAACATAAGCAGGTCAAACTCCCAGGCAGTTTTAAGCCTTTAAATTATTACTACTTTGTCAGGGCCTTATTTGCAATAGGAAGCAGTTGTAGAGTTATTCCTCATTTTACTACACACGGGAGCACTTCCTTTTTTCTACTCCATGGATGACGTTTTCCCAAGTTTTGAGGTCACAGAGTACCTGCATTTTATCTTAACAAAGAAACATCCCTCTGAACCCCCCTTTGAAGTGCTTTGTATTCTCAACGAGCTCGTACTGCCGGGAACAACCACAACACGGCAGAGTATTTTTTGGAATTGACAGCAACACCTACCAAATACAGCTCCTACTGCTACACTGAGCCACCCCAGCGAGACAGACCGTGAGGCAGATCCCACCTTCACCAACATGTTCTCTTTGCTGTTTGTGGATTTCACCTACAAACTCGGCATTCCTGCAAAATGGAGAGCATGAATAATTCAGCACGGGTGAGGATGGCATCTTAAGGAGGCAGGATGAGGCCACACAACCTGAATTTGTTCAATCATCAGCATCTGCTCTACTTAATGCAGAACAGGACTTAGCTCAAAGGCCTGACAAGCTCAGAGGCAGAACATCTTTATTTGTGAGGCTCTCAGTTCTTCTCTGTCCGTAAAAACCACCCTATTTTTATGGCTCATCGCACAGTATCCGCAGGGTTTGCCTGCCCTAAGGGGGCTTCACGTGAAGCAATGCTCATAACTCATCTCTCCACAGGGAAAATGCCAGGTGCAGAACGTCCATCCTGCATCTGAAGTGCTCAGGAATGAAACACTGCCACAACCCGCCTCTGTGGAGACTGAGCAGAAAACAGTTCCACGCAGATCTCTAACCTGGGAGGGGGAACAGTTGGGATATGGACCTTGCAGGTTAGAAGTTATCCAGCTCTAAAGTCTTTGGGTATGTACAGGGGAACTAAACACAAACATCACTTGCACTTGATCACATCTGCTTCTCAGCCGCCACGGTAACACCACTGAGAAGCCATTACATAAAGCCAGCTCAGACAAAATGCAGGATTTCTGGCAGCACTGCTCAACAAAGGATAAATCTAAAAAGAGATTCTCCCTTTTTTACTGTTTTTGCTTAAAATAATTTGGCATTAACCAAGGCTTGAGAAGAAGTAGCACCACATTCTGGATGCAAGGCTCTGGGATGAGCATGTCTGAAAGCCAGCAGGCACTTCCAATTAAAGATACACTGAAAAGACAACAATCAAAGTTACAAGTAAAACCACCACTGCATATGCTTTTCATTTAAGCACCGGTAAGTAAATGTATATAGAGATGTTATCATTCCTCCTGGGGAATCCAAAGTGCAAAGCAGAGAGCTCAAGCAGAGAGAAAGGCAGGTGTCATTACATGAAGCTGTAACACAAGCAGAATGATTCCATTCCAAGCCTTTCTGCCACAGCATTTGGAGGCTTTACAGACATAATCTTTGGGAAAATACATTGTTCCAATCCAAAAGCAAAAAGTAAGTGACATGCAGCTAACACCTTTTCCATATTTTCATGTGTGCCAAATCACTTGATCTTTTTGTCCTTTCCTGCAGCCCTGCAAGCATCTCTTTATTCTACTGAAATCCTCTTAAAAAATAAAATAGAAGACAGAACAATCCAACACATCCCTTTTATTAATTTAAAAAACATGGAAGAAAAGCAATAGGGAAAAGTTTTAGCAATAAAAAAGGGATCCCGATTAAAAATCTATAGAACTTGTCTAGCAACATAAACTGATTTCTTTGGGTTAGAGATGACCCCATACAAAACCCCAAATTCAGAACACTCACAGTGCAGGAGAGTCTGGCTACAGACCACTTTTCTACTTCAGGTTGAACTCTTCCCTTAGATTCATGTATCCCACTGCTACCAGCTCCGCCATAAGTAGAATACGTAGCCTTCACAGTAATATTTCCCTTAAATGGTAATGGATATGTTTTAGCTTTCAGACAGAAAAACACTCTGGGCCATGTTAGAAAGAACTCCAGGGTCACAGAGACTTATGGCTGACTCTTTAGAGCAAACTTAGAGCAGACTGCACAGCAGTTATACAGGCAATTAAGAAAAAAATCTCTTATTTGGCATTTCTCTATCATTATCTCTCGGGCCTGTGACGTGAAGGCCATGCCCCGTTAAGCAGATGTAACGTACGGCCAATGGGTTCTGCTTGGCTGAGATGAAAGGCTTTCATGCTCCTGGATATAAAGCAATGAACAGTGCTTCCAGCTGTCCCTGAAAGGCCTCATCCTCTTCCCATCACAAAACTTGGCTCTTCAGCGTCATCTTCCTTCTCTTCCTCCTCCTTGCTGTCCTCTTCGTCATCCTCGCTGCTGCCTCGCTCTTGGGATTGATCTGGTTCTACAAACACAAACAGGGTGAATCCATAAGGTGTTCCCACCTGTCTTCCTTCTCAAGTATTTCACAACAAAACAGTCCCAGGTGCAAAGGAAACGCGTATTATTAGGTCATGCTAATTAGCACGAGTGGATAACATGGATAACATATTCCCCTGTGTCTTCCTTGTTAAATATCTCACAACTAAGTAGTCCCAGATAGTCAGGAAACATGTATCAGATTATATTCATTCTACCGAGCGACAGGGAACTCAGAATATCAAATTCCCCCTTGGAGAAATATTCCCTTACCTCCAGTGTTACCAAGTCCACCTCCTATAGAACGTTATTTCTTCAAACAGAGGTAGTCAAACACCGGGGATGATGGATTATCTCATTCCCAACCTCTGCAGGTTGGCATTAACTTTCAAGGATCGCAGAGTACTGTTACAGAGCACTGGGAAGCCATGGACAAGACTGAGTATATTCCTACACCTATCCTAAGTCACAGAAACTCTACAGGGTGCCATAAACTTTTACAGACTGTTTGCTATACTGCAAGTACAGGAACCCATTAAGATATGCCTAAGGTTAACAAGGGTCACAGAAAACTCGTGAGGCCTGCTGAAAGACCAGAAGACACTTACTAGAAATTAAATAACCAATCATGAAAATGAGCTACAGCATCAAGTGGGACCTGAATCTGACTTTTTCTGCTCTTTACTGTTGCTCAGGCCCAGTCAAGCTCATGTCCTGACCAGTTACACGTAGGATTTAGGCTCAGTGGTCTGATGCCACCGCGTGGTGAAGTTCTGAACTTTCATTTTGTCTTAGGGGCTTGTACAATAACGTAACTTTAACAGCTGACCTGATTCGCTGCCAACCCTTATTGTGCATGTATTTACTACAACAAAGGTGAAAGATGGCAATTCAGAGGTTTTATTCATTCATTCAAAACGGAAGATAAATGCTTGCCTACTACATACAACAAATGCACTTCAATTAATTTGGGAAAATTCAGATCTCAACCAGGGCACACAAAACTAGAAAAAGACTGTTCTCAGTAGACTAGAGATGGCTATCAGGGGCTTCTGTCTCTACTGGTATTATTATCATTGTTATTACTACTACTATTATTATTTTACATAGAGAACCACAAACTGTAAAGAGTTAAAAATGTAATAAAGACAGGGGAGTTTGGATTCTTTCAGGAACTTGTGCCAAACAAAACCACTCCAGCCCCACAACTGGTACATGGCAGTGCCAGTCCCTGATCCAGCTCTCCTCTCTCCCAGCCACTCCCTAAAGGGATGGGTATTCTGTTTTGTTCACTCAAAATGAACAAAAGTATGTTGACTCAGACTTAAATCCTCCTCCTAGTTACAAGTCATAAATGACTAGCTTAAAAAAAAACAACAAAAAACAGAACAAAACCAAAACACTCAAAAAACCTACTCTGCTACATCCACTTGCTGTCACAAGTAAAATTAACCTAACAAGTAATTTGTCCTCCCGTGTTTACATGGGAGGCTGGCAATGGTTCAGCTGAAACAGATCCAATTCTGAAAAGCAAAGCAGAATTAAGGTAGAACTGTCAGACAAGTCACTGTTCCAGCAGAATTACCAGCAACTGCTGTAACTTTAAGAATGACTGCAGTTAGTGAGCTAATCCACAAAGGACAACTATTTGAAGGAGTAAAGCTAAAATAAACTCACTGAAAAGAAGCAACAATGTACAAAAGTTTGAGCAAACAGTTACACTGATGTTTGCTGAACTTTACTTTCAACACTGCAGGAGGACAGAGGCAGTCAGGTTTTCCATGTTTATTTCTATGCAAATAAAATAGTCATGTGGAACAGATGGCACCAAGGTGGCTCAATTTCTTACACACGCAATCATAACTCAGTTTCTTGCTGCCCAAGCTGTGCATTTTTTTCCACCTGCTTTCTCCATAAGCATTCAAAATATACATAAGAGAAAAGCACAGCCTCGAACAATACTGCCTTTTTGAGCAGATGATGTCCTAAATCTGCAGTTTGTCGGAATAGCTGGGGCAAAACATCCACAAACAACCAAATCGGATTCCAATGTTTGCTGTCCAAAATTTCCCCTACTAAAGGGAAAATATTCACAAACAGCCAAGTTATTTGTAAGATTAAATCTCAACATAGATGGCTTTCAAAGAGGATTTTGAAACATTAGCTAAAATAACAAGCTTAAGGCTCAGGCTTCAATCCATGTATTGAGAACGCTTGGGGTGGGGGGTGGAAAAAACCCTTCTAGGCTTCAATTAGGGAACAGAATTGAGTCCTGAGGAAAGAAAACTAAATTTCACTGACCTTTTTCCTGCTTCTTTTGTTCAAGTTTATTTTTCTTAGCTTGCAGCTTCTTCTCTTTTAACTTCTGGCTATAAAGCAAAGGAAAAAAAAACTGTGACAAATCCTACATTTGTAAAGCTTCTGACCATTCATACACTGATAAATGACACATTGGAAAACCTGATTTCAGACGAGAAGTTCAATTTAAATTTGGCCTTAACTGAAAATTCAGCAAGAGCAAATTTAGCACACGATCAACAGAAACTTTTCTATGTTTTTTTTAGTCTAATGGATCTTTTAAAAGTCTTCCATGATGCCACTGCAACCCAAACTATATGATACACAATAATCTCCAAGAACACAGATGGAACAAAAATGAAACTGCTCCTATATTTTAGCTACCTAGGCTAATGAACAAAAAGAGAAAATGGTGTCAAAACCCAGACTGCTGGGATTGAACATTGGGGAAAAAATATCACCAGTAACATATACTTTAATTGAAAAAAAAATTTTTAAAAAAATAGTGCAGTATGCTTTGACCTTCCTCTTTGGCTGTACTTCCTCGGGATATCGGGTCCTTGGAACAACACTAGGAGTAAGAGGGAAAGTCTGTTCATAAAACCCAGTTTTTTTGCCCAGAAAAGGCAATCAGGCAAGTTAATGTCAGACACAGGCAGAGCAGCCTGGGATTCATGTTTCTCTCTCACCACCATAAGTGAATTCTCTTGAAACAGAGAGCCAGGTAGTATTAGGTCAGGACAGAAGAGAAGGGTGGTGAGGGAAATCAGAGGGGCTCCTACAGGGCAAAGCCACTTGGGTCCTGCACCATTAGACCGTAGAAGGGGGACAAGGAGGTGTTAGTGTTTAGGCAGCATCTGCTGTTGGAACAGTTGTTCTCCCTCTCAGCCAGGGAAGAGGCAGCAGGCCAGATCTGACTTGGTGGCCATCTGTTGGACCACATTAAATTAAACTAAGATGGCAACAGTGTTTGTGTTGAGCACTTTTGTGCTAATATGGCAGTGAGTCACTTTGCACAGGCCTTTCCACAGCAGCTCTCAGCCACAGGATGCAAAGCAGCAAGGGAGAGGCTGCTCAGGGTCAGACAGTGTGAAAGAGCCGGGCCATGATACCCTGCTGTTTCTGAAATGTGTGGTGGATAAAGACACTGGGATTTAAATTCCTGTATCAATGCACTACGATGTTCAGGTTACTTCTTGAGAGCATCAATCTTGTAACTGTTTCACTGTGTCTAGAATTTAAGAGCAAGATGGATTTAATATTTTTTAATATTTTCATTTAACCTACTAGACTTGACCTGCAGGCAGAAGTGGCCTATCCACTAAGCAGCACACAGTTTTGCACTGAAGCTGCTTGGTATCAAGTGATTCAGATGTTCATTTAAGCCAGATATAAACACAAACCTTTCCTGACACTGTTACAACAAATATGCAGTAAGGCACGTTGCAGTCAAGACCACAGAGTCAGCAAAAGCTGCTCAACCAGTCCCGAGTTATCCTGCCAGGGATGACATGGAGAAGAAACCACGCCAGCAAAGCCTGTCAGGTTTACAGCTACCTTTAAAAACCAAACAATGACACTGACAAATTTAATTTCCACAGCCAGACTTCCCAGCTGATAGATGCAGACACAGAATGACAGTGTTTATCCAAAGCATGCAGCTACAGATGAGGCACAGGGTGTGAGGGTTTCCATGTCAAGCCTCCTGGGAAAAATCTGCCCTTACCGCTTCCTTCTGCGTTTTGCTGTTTGCTCTTCTGCAACCATCTTATTCCTCTCCAGTTTCTTCTGGAATTCCTCATCTAGTCTTTGCTGTAATTGATCACATGTCATACTTTGGTCACAATCTAAATTAAAATACTTCTTTTAAAAGTCATGTCCTTTTAGGGAGAAATCTTTTAGCAAAATACAGAAGGGAGCTCTGCCAGATTTTGCCTGGCTTCTTTATACAAAGCCATGTCCCAGGGATGACTGCTGAACAGACAGCACTTTTAACCTATACCCTGAGCCAAACACTGAAACCTTCTGAGGGAGAAATCCTCACCAGAACAGGTGAGGAAGGTTGGGCTTTTGCCCTAATGAATGTTTCAGTAAAAACAAGTGAATAATTGGAGACATAAACATTAACATATGGATCAAAGGACTCGGCCAAGAAAGAGTATAACAATAATGTTGTCTAAAAGAGAGGCCATTCTACTTGACCAAGCCTTAAAAGAAACATCTGAACTCCGTTCACAGGCACTTGCCTTGATTCTCTCTAGGCAAGACAGTGATAATATAAGGGATTTCTAGTTTTAAAGCATTTTCAAGCCAACCTGAGAACACACACACTCACGTGTCTTACTGTGTGCTAGGACCCCAGGGAACACAGGAGATGGAGCATGTCTGACACAAAGCACCAAATGTTTCAGTACTGACACAGACGCCACGTATCACACACTCCTACAGACTCCTCTGACAAGGGGTGGCTCAGAATGGGATTATTTGTACATGACTTTCAAAGAAAACACAGATTTGCAGCGAACACCGAATATTGGGGGGTGAGGGAACTATAAAGAGCTGTGCTGACCTTCTCAGCCATGGCATCCATGAAATCTTGCCTCTGGTACTCTCGCCGCCGGAGATGCCGGTACACGTGGAACTCCCCGCTCCCAGCTCCAGCACTGGAACCTGCAGCAAAGAAGAGGTAAATCTGCTAGGAAAGAATGTGTATAGATTCTCACAAGTAACTACAGCTAGAGATGAGCTAAAACATCCTATTGAAGCTGCTTCTGACTGACTTGCAGCATATCTCACACAAAAAAATAAAGGTCAACAGAAGGGAGATAAACCCCATCGTATTGTACTTTCCCACACAAGACAGATACCACTGACGGTTTCTGACTGTTTCTTCACAAGTGAAATGCCCACAGCTCTCTCTTCCTGGCATCAGCCTGCATGTTGAAGCCTCACAGGAGCTTTCAACATCACTCTCCGTTCTCTTCCTCTGTCTGCTGAGCCATTTCTCGAGGCAAAGCACAGGAATACAAGCCTCAAAGAAGACACCTAATTAAAACACAGCAGCTGGGGCTGCAACACGGGTGCTCTTGATACCAGCAGAATCCCAGCATGTCAGGTGCTCCCAGAAAAACAAGACAGTTTGACTCAAGCACACAGCAAAGCTATTTGAAAAAGCCATGAGGGAATTCCAATAGGCAGAAGAGTTTATCCCAAAGCATATAAAAACTTCAGTCCAAGATCAATTATTCTGAGATAAGAACAAGTCAACCTCTAGGAAGGATGAAGGTCCCAAAGAAAGACAGAACTTCTACATGCAGACACAGTTTATACCACAACTACTATATTTAATCCCTGCAGGTAAAAGTAAAGTATAAGCAGAGTATTTAGGTCAGGTTCCTCGCACAGCTGCCAGCTCCCTGCCTGACCACACAAAACCATACCTGCTGCACGTGCCTGAGATCCAGGCTCAAAGCAGCCACAAGAAGGGCTTCATAACTGTAAGCTTCCAGAGCACTCTCAGATCAGTGGGAAAGACAGATTTACTTATCATCATTTACTTGTCATCACCAGAGCAGCAGCTTATTGCACTGCAGGCAGCCCACGTGCTGCAGTGCCACGGGCTTTGTTCACTTTGCATCCTGACTACCGGTAGAAAAGCGGGACCCAAGAACCAAATAAAACTCGAAAAAGCAACTCTCGAAGCACATTTCACACCTCTTTCCTCCAGCAAAATGAGCAAACTGAAAAACCATCTCTGTCCTCCCCTGTTAAACACTTTTCTGAGTTAAATGTGGCTGACCCCGGAGATATGTGAAGAACAGAATCTTTACCCATCACGTCTCTAACGAACTCCGGGGGAGGTCGCGGTGCCCATTCGTTCAGTTTTTCGGGGATTGGTACAGTCTTTTCCTGCAAGAACAAACCAACCAGCCATCAGTATCTTCTAGGAGCAAAGTCTGCAATTTTAACACATTGTTGAAAGGCGGGACATGTCTGACAACAGCCTCTTCCATCAGCTGACAGATCTCAGAAGGAGCACAGCTGCAGCCATTTCTTCATGCACAGGGACCAGGAGCAGGCAGAAGAGGAGAATAAGAAGGGATCCTCTCTGTCCCTCACATTCAGGCCTGCAGGTCAACAAACCCCGGGAGGATTAGGAATGTCTGTGCTTCTTTTCAGTATGGAAACCAGGTGGAAGCATGTCAGCACCTCCAAGCACTCGCAGGACCTGAGTCTACTCCCACTACCAGTAGTCTGGGAAGCGATGAAAGGCATTTGTGCACCTTCCATGCCAGATCTAGAGGACAGGAAAGAGCAGGGGAGGGAGAACACATGGTGCAAGGTCAGAGGAAGAACGCGGTGCAGGGACATCTCAGCTGCTCCAGCACACACAGGGCACGAGTGAGAGTCTCCTCCTGGCAAACACCTCCTCGGGAAAGGATCGAAACACCCAGTTAGAGGAACTGGGGTCATTAAAAGCAGTGGGCAGAGCAAAGGCCAGCGGGCAGAGCACTGAGGGGCCAGTCCTCCCCCTGGGTCCCCAGAGAAGGGTCTCTCCCCTCACAGCACCCCAGAAAAGTCCCTCTCCCATCATGACAAGCCGGTGTGTGGGGCAGGTGTCGGTCCCTCTCCCCTCGAGGACCTAGGGAGGAGAAAGGGGCGGGGGGTGTCAATCTGTCTCCCTTCATGGAACCGGGAAGAAGGAAGGGGAGGTCGGCCCCTCTCTCCTCACAGACCCCGGGGTGGCCGTGCCGGCCCCTCTCCCCTCACGGACCTTGCAGGTGCAACGGGGGGGTTTCGGTGTCCCTCTCCCCTCACGGACCCTGGGTGTGGGGGGGTCTCGTTGTCCCTCCTCCCCCCTCCCGGCCCCGCCGCCCTCACCGGGTTCCTCATGAGGCGCTCGAGGCGGAGGCGCTGCTCCTCGGCCGCGCTCCGGGGGATGACGAGCGGCTGCGGCTCCTTGCGGGGCCGGGGCGGCCGCGGGGCCGAGGGCGCCGCCATGTTCCAGACCTGGCCGCGCCCCGCCCCCCGTGACGTCACGGCGCGCGACGCTCCCCCGCCCGTCATGGCGGGTCTGACTGAGGGCCCGTGAGGGGACCCTGGGGGGGACGGGAAGGGCTTCGCGGGGCCCTCACCGCGAACAGTCGTAGAGTCACAGAATCACTGAATGAATTAAATTGTAAAATACATGGAGTCCCACCTGTGACCGAACACCACCCTGCCAACAACACCAGAGCACCGAGTGCCACGTCCAGTCCTTTCCTTAAACACCATCAGGGACGGTGACTCCGCCACCTCCCTGAGCAGCCCCGTTCCAATGCCTGACAAACCCTTCTGTGAAGAAATTCCTCCTGATGTCCATGCCCTGCAGCCTGGGTGGGAGCCGAAGGCACAGAGTCACAGAACGATAATTCACAGAATCAAGGAATTGTATGATTGGAAGGGGCCTCTGGGGATTATCCAGTTCAACCCCCTGCCAAGGCAGGGTCACCCAGAGCAGGTGACACAGGAACGTGTCCACGTGGGTTTGGGATGTCTCCGGAGAGGGAGACTCCACGCCCTCCCTGGGCACCTGTTCCAGTACTCTGCCACCCTCAACGTGATTCTGTGAGGGCACAGAGTCACAGAAAGATGGTTTGGTTCAGAAGGGACCACTGGGGTCACCCATTCCAACCCCTGGCTCCAGCACCATCCCCTGAGCTTGGCACTCAGGGCTGTGTCCAGATGGCTTTTGAGGGAGACCCCACACCCTCGCTATGCAGTCTTTGCCAGTGCTCCATCACCCACACAGTGAAGAAGTTCTTCCTCATAGAATTGCACAATGGTTTGGGTTGGAAGGAACGTTAAAGCTCATCTCGTTCCACCCCTCTGCCATGGGCAGGGACACCTTCCACTAGCCCAGGTTGCTCCAAGCCCCATCCAACCTGGTCTTGAATACTTCCAGGGATGGGGCAGCCATAGCTTGTCTGGGCAGCCTGTGCCAGTGCCTCACTACCTTCACAGGGAATAATTTCTTCTCAATATCCCATCTAACCCTGCCCTCTCAGTGTGAAGCCATTCCCCCTTGTCCTGTCACTACATGTCCTTGTGAAAAGTCCCTCTCTGTCTTTCTTGTTGGCTCCCTTCAGGTACTGCAAGGCCACAGCTGAGTCACCCTGAAGCCTCTTTTCCAGGCTGAATAACCCCAATTCTCTCAGCCTTTCCTCACAGGAGAGGTGCTCCATCCCTCTACACATCTTGGTGGCCTCCCCTGGACTCACTCCAGCAGGTCCATGTCTCATGTTCAGGTGGAACTGCTTGTGGTCCAGTCTCTGCTTGTGCTCTCATCTTACTGCTTGCCACCACTGAGAAACACCCGGCTTCATCCTCTGACCCCTCCTTCAGATACTCATGTACACGCTCAGAGATATGTTGTTCCCTGCGTCACTTCTCCCATGTCCCAGCTGTAGCTGTGCTTCCCGCTCCCTGCAAAGCTGTGTTTGCTGAGCTCTGATTTCCTCTGTCCCCCCAGGCACGTTCTCCAGGCTGCAGTGAGTGCAGTCTGTCCCCAACAGGACCCATTAACGAGGCAGCTCTGGCATCTGCCATGCTCCATCCAGGCTCCGGGCTCAGCTGAGCCCTGAGGAGGGTGAAAATTCAGTGTGTTTTTCACCAGCACCCTCAGCCCTGCCAAATCCTTTCCCCGTGACGGCGTAAGCGATATGGGACTTCCCAGTGCCTCGGTGGCAGGCTGCCTGCACCATCTGTTCGTGTCACTTTGGTAATTAACCAGCGCTGCCCATGGGCTTTGTCTGCTGACAGTGATGAACGGCAGTGCCATTCCCCACGGCACGGCCTTGCCGGGCACTGGGAGATGCCGAGATGTGGGCAGGTAGAAGGCGGGGGATACTGCACTATCTGCATCCATATTCACATCTGGGCTTTGCGGGAGCAGTGCTTGGACGAGCTGAGGGATTGTACACTCAAATCCATGCATGACTGACGGGGCTGCAGGAAGCCATGAGTGGGGAAGAGGAGCCGGAGCTGGCTGTGATCAGGTTCCTCTGCAAGCCAAATTTCTTTTCAAGTCGCTGTGGCCCTACAGAAATGGCATGGCATGTGCTCGGGCTGTGCGTGCGTCAGAGAATTAGCTACTAAAGGTCAGCTGCAATGGAAGAGGGGCATAAACCTTTGTGTAGTTTATGGAGATAAGCTGGAGCCGAGAAGTTGGGCTCTGGGTTTCAGACAGCTTCGTGCTGTGCATGTGGAGAGGGCGACAGAAAGGGGAATGGAGAGGTTGGGAATGGCTCCTTCTGAGATTTATAGTTCATTTATATGACCTGAATTTATTAAGCCCCCATTCTCTTCCCCCTTCAGTGGAGAAAACCGGAGCTGATCCTCAGGTTCAGCCCTATGTTTACAAAAGACTTTTCAACCCTCACTGAGGTTGCTATGGAAATCACACTAGTTTGTGCCTCGTGTTTGTCTTACCAACCTGATTTGTAAAAGAATGGTGTGAATTTAGTGCTGGCTGAGTTCCCAGCTGGCCGCTGGTCCTGGAAGGCATCCTTGCAGTCTCAGCCCTGGCTGGAGCAATGCAAACAGCTTCCCCCATGCTGTCTGCCAGCTCCTCAGCTCCTGTGCCTACGGCTCTCCCAGCCTTGGGTCCTCTTCAGCCCGCCAGGACAGAAACCTCACAGTGCCAGGCTGGACTCAGCCTCGCCAAAGAAACACCAGTGCCGTTGCAGAGGCAGAGGCAGGTACGTGCCCCTGGTCCTTGCTCTGTCACTGCAGAATGTTTTTTAGAAGCAGAAATGTAGATTGATTGAGTTTCCTCTCTGTTTAGTCCTGAGCAGAGCACAGGAAGGTTTAGCTTCCTAACCCCTAAATTGTCATGGGTGTGAGTAATGAGCTGCCTTCCACTCCCCACGGGCTGCAAGGGAGCAGCTGGGTAGCTGAATTCACTTGCCCAAAGCCTGGCTTGTGCCAGTGACAGCTCACAGCCCTGGGAAACAAACAGGCAGCTGCCTGTCATCCAACAGAGCCCACACAAACCATGGGGAAAGAGACCTGGGAGCATCTCACTCTGAACCTACATGTCTAGGGAATTGGTGCAGACTCTTGATGTATTAACGCATGTGTTACTTTTAAAATATATCTATCCAAGGAGGGGGGCCAAGCCTGTTACTGGGTCATTCAAAAACAGAAAGTATTTCATCAAAATACAAAGCCCACGAAATCGGAGTGCTGGGTTGGAATCTGGGCAGAACTGGGCTTACTGGGGTCACGGGATTTGCATTAGAACAGGGAAGTGTTTTCATAGGTCAGTGCAAACCAAACAACAAAACCCAGCTCCCTGATCTGTATCAAAGCTCGACTGTGTTTCTGAGGAGTTTTCCTACCAAAGGGATCTTTCTGGAAGCACTGCAAGCCTTTGCTGAGACAGACCCTGCACGTCAGGCAGGAGCAGCTGTGGAGCTCCAACACCCACGTGAAACGTGGGCGGCTGCGCTGCTGAAATCCCTTTGCATTTTTGTCCTGTTCACAGTCTCTGCCGGGCACAGCTCAGAGTCAGCATCCCACAGATCACTTCAACATCCCTGCAGACCAGTCCTGTTCCAGCCCTGGGCAGAGGGCACTGCTGGCATGGAATCCAGCCCAGCCCACACACTGAGGTTGCCTTCCCCTCATTTCACTACCAGATCTCTGTGCTAGATGCAAAGGGCTGTTGCATCCTGCCCCTGCCTCCCAGGAATCCTATGAAAGGAAAGGAAGGGATGTTTTCCAGCAAGACTGATGCTGTAGTTAGTCAATTTGCTAATAAGCTGAGGTGTGAATGGTTTAGGTTTAGGCAGGAAGAGCAGCTGTCCCACTGGCACATCTCTCAGTGCCAGCCTTGAGGGCAACAGTCATCCATAAGGAGGGGCTGTCACCTCCCCAGCTGCCCAGCTCCTGATGGATGAGCTCTCCAGGAGCAGTGAACAGGCTCTGGAGCCTTTCGGGGGAGGGAATATTTTTGTGAATGGATCATGACACAACCGAGGCCTGATTCCTGAGCTGAGCAGCTCCCTCCACCCCCCCAAAAGCCATGTGTTAGCTGCGTCTGTCACGCTGCTTAGCTGTGACAGAACAGTCTGGGACAATGCCCCAGTTTTCCCAGGGGATTCTCAGCAGAAAAGAGCACACTAGAAAGACATACAACGTCAGAACACGAGGCACTGCCTCCCAGGAGAGACGAAGGCATGGGAGGGGGAAAGACAGGCTGTGGGGAATGGCTGCTGGGAGATACTCTCACAGGCCTTTGGCAAGGGAGGTCCATCTTCACACCCCAGGGCTGCTCATTCCCTATTATCCACACTGCTCTGGGGAGGGAGGCATTTCAACCTGCACCAGTGACAAACCAGACAAAGAAAAAAAGAGACTGGAAGGAGATAAAACCCTGTCCTGTGCAGCCTGGACCCATCCTCCTCCTCCTCCTCCTCCCTCTGCTCAGCAGTGAGAAAAATACCCCTCTTTCCCTCCTCAGTGCACTCCATCAGGCAGAGACAGACCGAGCCCAGCCCCAACTGCCTCGAGATAGCAACGAGGTCTACACACATGTGACATGACAGCACCCTCCCTCCCTTTTTTCCTTTCTTCATGTAGCAAATCCAGCAAAACTCCAAGCTCATGCTCACGTGCTGTCCTTTTTGCAAGTGATTTTATTTTAAAACCGAAACATGAGTTCTCCATTTGTTTATCAAGTCCCCCTCCCCCTGTTTTTTTTTAAATAAAATTAATTTATTCTACACAACAGTAAACTCTTCCAGACTCTTCCCTATTTACAAATTAACATTTTTGCTTGCAGATCTTTGCTTCCCCCTCCTTTTCCTATCCTGTGACACAAAAAGTGAGAAACCAGCCAGTATCTGAAGGTCTGTAAGGCAGTGCTCCCATCCAGCCCCTTGGGACCTCAATGAGGAACCAGAGTGATGATGTCTGTGCCATATCCAAAATCACCAATAATATCCAAAATTCACTCTGTGTGTGAAGGAAGCATGTCCAG